TGCGCGACAAAATCGCATTTTAAAATCAGGAAACTGGCCATAACTTGGCACCAAAAGCGAATTATCAAATTTCCTCCCAAATGTATCAAGTTCATATAGATGCGCATAATTTCTGAAAATTTCATTGAAATTCATTGAATGGTTGCTGAGAAACCGCGTGCACAAAATTTTGGAAAAAAAATAAGAAAAATAATAAGAAACAGTAGAATAACTATAAGGTCTTCCGTGAAGACGGAAGACCTTAACTAGATGAGATCTCGTTGCGAGCAACGAGTAGGTCTTCCGACCGACTTTTCTCCAGCGAGCAAAGCAATCAACTTCTCGGATAGAATAAATCAGGCCACAAATCATTTATTTGGTGTTAGTGTTCAACATCTAATTTTCCTTTTATCATGAGGGATAAGGTTCATGCAGATTAGTCTTAAATAAGAAATATTGGAAAAATAACAATTCGTTTACAGTTCTTTGATGTATATTGCATGGGCGTCGGAAGCAAATTTAAAAGGGGGGGGGGGGGTAGTTGAAAGTTCGGGGTAGGGGGTGCTAAGCCAACAGAAAAAGGTTAACCCCAATTTCCAATGCGTATTTAATGTCTGTATTTCCAAAAATGGGGGAGTATCATTACATTCTTTTTTAAATTAAACTGAACTAGTAGATAACTAAATATCTTTTTTGACAGACTATAAAATAAAATGAAATTGAGATTTTGATATATTTTTTTCTGCCAATTCCCATGAGATATAGATAACTCCTACATGCTGTAACAGCTTTCCATATTAAACTGGTTAATATTTCATTTGATGTGTGCACACTCATTACTCAAAAGGTCCGAATGGATTTATATAATAATTTATGACACTATCTTGAATGGCATCTTTAAAACTTAGCAAAACACTACTTTAAGAAAAGTAAGCTCAAGGACAAAGAAAAGTTTAAAAAATGGTGATGTAGTTAAATGGTTCTCATCAGTATTTATTAACAAGTGAAGTTTGGTAAAACCATCTTGAACAGTATGCTTAAAACTGAGCTTAACACTAATTTAAGAGAAATGGGGTCAAGTTCATACTCAAGGTAAAAAATGCTGACACAGTTGCATAGCTCTCATTAATATCTATCAGCATATGAAGTGTGATGAAAATATCACAGAGAGTTTCTTTGAAACTGAGCTTTGAACTGAGCTAAATGCAAAGTGTGACAGAAAAACAGAAGACGGACATGACAAACACTATATGCCCCCGCAATGTTTCTGGCTGTGCATAAAAATCACTTTTTTTTGACAAAACAAATCCTTTTTCCTCTAAAGTTTGCTTTATTGATAACTTTAAAAATACATTATCAACCAATAAGGAATTTAATAGAATAAATTAATCATATGTGTTAAAGATATCATTACTGAAAAGATAATTTAAGAACATACAACTTTTCCATAAACTTTAAAAATTGAGAAAAATATTGTCTCAGAGCAAGGGAATTTCTCGCCTTGCAGCTCTAAATATAAACATATATATACATATAAATATGTATGACAAAATATTCAGGACATTAATATCAAAACCATAATATGCTACAACATAATCAAAAATTAATTTAAGGAATCACTGCCTAGTTAGTAGAGAATGCCAAGGCATCAACGAAACTTGGAAACGTGTGATTTATGCATAATGGATTTAGCCCATGTTTTCAACTATTGTTGGTGCCCAGGCATACTCTACTAACAAAAAAGTATTTCCTTATATTTCTAATTCATTGTAAAATAAAATAGTAAATTTAGATTATAAGAAAATGTAGAATAATGGATTTAAATTACATGAGGCCTCCATTTTATTTTCAATAGTTTCTGGCAATTGACATCAAAATCAAAGACAGATGCACAACATTTACATGCATTAAGCCCTCTTAAGTTCCTGACCTATTGCTTGGTGAAATTTACATTCTGGTAGAATGATCAAATAATCAACTTGACTAACTTTCAAAGAGACATCACAGAAAAAACAATTAGAACTGGAAATATTTAGCGATATATTGTAGTTTAATAAAAATAAATTTAACAATGTTATATTTACAATGTTTATAATAAAGAACACATTGGATCATGGGGACTGTCAACAGACGTACAATATGATAAATAGATAGTCTATAATATCAATCACATTGGGAGAAACATGTTTGTAACACATAAGAAGCAATCAAAGAAATAACAAGTGCACAACTAGTAAATTAAAAACATATAGGAAATTAAAAAAATACAATTAGTTAATAAACATCAACAACCTTGAAAAAACTTGGGGGTTATAGGTTAAATATGGACAATGTTAATGACATTAATCAAGTTAATGCATGTCAGTAAAGTACTATACTATTGATATATTTCATTTACAAATATCTCAAGAGACTGACCAACTTTCTGATGTTAGCATGTCTGCATTAGTCATATTGAAAATACCATCTAAATACATAAACCTACGGATGAGTTCCAGGTGCTGTCCTGTATGCCATTATTTTCCTCTGTGTTCTTTCGTTGATGTAATGGATGTGATTGATATTTCCTCTTCGTTTTTTTTCGTTGATGGCACCAAGATTCCTGGTAGAAGAGCAAAGTCAACACTTAAATTAGTGTTATAGATGCAATTGAGAACAATACATATATCTAATTAATTTTGACATGATTTTTTTCTGATCACCTATTTTTCGTGGTTCAATGTTACTGTAATAACAGTGTTCTTTCACAATCCAAGATAGCTTTTACATGATTAGGACCAGTCTCCATGCCTGAAAAAAAATATAAAATATCACAGGAGAGGTTAGCTGGCTGAGAACATGAGTACAATAACCAAACTCTGATATATTTCAGTTATATTAGTGATGATTATACAAGTATATACCAAATATGAAGTGATCTAAAAAGTTGCTAACATTCAGAAGGCAGTAATATATCATCACAATCCCTATTCTAAAGATAAATTAACCTGTTAGGCATTACTGTTACTTACTCTGATGTCGCAATTGTTCCCTTTTCAGTTCCCTTGATGATTTTCCCTCCTGTGAAAGTAAATCCTGGGAAAAGGCTTTGGATTTGGGCACTTCAACACTAAATGAGTTGCTAATAATAATGGTTTAGATTTTTCCTAGAAAAAGAAATTTTCTTTTTTTAAAAGGGTACATTGACAGTTGTGGTACATTATACACCTGTACATTACATTATACACCTGTACATTCCATCATAATCTGATCAAGTTCATTTACATCATTTTGATAATGAAGCAATTATCATAGCATAAAATTATGGGAAACTGTAAAAATAGAAAAACTTTGTCCAACCTTCTGTGTTTAATTGCACAGTGGTATACAGAGACCATTTACAATTTATCAACACTGAAACTATTCTAAATAACAGGTTAATATGTAAATAATTATAGGAAATAAGACATACATTTTTAAAAGTATCCTCCATGCTCAACTTCATGATTTCAACTTCTGAATCAGCAATCTATAAATATAAAAGAAACATAATTATGAAGGATAATTTATTTAACATATATTACAGAGAGAGAGAGAGAGAGAGAGAGAGAGAGAGAGAGAGAGAGAGCTCATGTAAGCACATTTTACACAGTAGTGAATGGAACAAGCACAAACAAGAGTCTAGGGACAACTTTGCTCACCTGAGCACTTTGCCTTTGTAAAAGCAAAATTCATTTCAGTATTGAATTGTGGCCCCACCCTACCTCCTGGGGTCATGAATTAAACAAACTTGAATTTACTGAGGATGCTTTCTCATTAGTTTTATCTTTCCTTCTGCAGTGGTTCCGCGAAGTGGATTATAAAAAAGCGTAAACTGACCCAAACCATATTATACTCGATAATTTAGCCAAGAATTAGAGTCATTCCTTATAATTTAATTTTAAAATAATTAAACAACTGGGGGTGTAAAATTGTGTTGTTTTTATGAGTTCAAATTTACTGCGCAATAATACAACCGTAGTAACGGAAGTGATGGGAAGTGAGGGGAGGTAAAAACTGACACATAGATCTAGCAGCCATGATGCTTGTTTACAGGAGGTAAGATCGAGCTACTGTTTGAAGTTAAAGGTACATTTTTTAAATCTGGAATTCTCCATGAATCCCAAGAACTGGAAATGAGGGGATTGATGGATACAGATGATTCAGCTGGTTGTCAAGGGGGTGTGTCCCCATACCAAACCAGATTATACAAAATGTTATGCGTTAATTCCTTTTTGGAAATCAACCAATAAGAGGCAAGAATACAAACAAAATTAAATTGTATAATTAGAGAACAGTTGCTTCTTTGGTTACTAAAATATGGTTAAATATCATGCTCTTAGTCATGATATATCATAGCATTTTTGGCAACTCGAAATCACCAATGTGCTTGAAATCTCTTTTTTTACAGTGATTAAAGGACGTGAAACTGACAGAGATCATAAGGATGATTCGATTGATTGTTGAATGTCTTTCTCAATATTTTAACAAATAAAGACGTCACCACCTGCTTGTGAAGAGCTGCAAATTTTGTCCTCTACACAGCACTCAAGGCCATTAAACAGGGAGAAGTCTGTTTTGTGCAAACACCTTCTGCGACACAGTTTATACGGTCTGATTTGAAGGGCGCACAAGTGGGATTGGAACCCTCGATGTATGGAGAAGTCCTTACTGTGCAACTCTTAGAGCAGACGTTCTAACCACTGCGCCACGCGGGCGACCAAACCATCACGATAAATTGTCAATGATTGTTGTTGTTTTAAGCCAGTATTCTTTCAGCCATATTTCAGCAGATTATAATGCGACCAACTGCTAAATTCAATACAAACATATTTCAAAATATATAGCAAAATGTGAGACCTATTTTGAATTAAATATCCGTAAAAAATATGGCGAAATTGAAGAGTAAACAGCTCTGTAAGTTTAATTAGTAGTAAATCAAAACAAAGCTTATGTTTAATTCGAATTGAACCCTCTTTGTTAACAGGGCATAATAAATCATGAATGCTACTGTTTAAATTACTTGTCTCAAAATATAAGTGATTATGGGTAATTAGATTACACTCATTATACAAATGACAGTTTCCTTGAAAGAAACAATTGTAGCTGCAAAGCTTCAGGTACTACTTTGATCCTGCTATTGTTTTAAAGTAATATAGTCAGACCTCATCATGTGGAACTTCTATAGTCATGGTTTTTGAGATCGGTGTTCTACGATACTGAAGTTCAAATGTAATTACTTCACTCTTTTACACGAGTCTTAACCATTTTTTTAGGTTTGGAGACAAACTGTGTAGTTTTTGCACACAATAGCATTGCAGTTTTGAATTCATGTTCATCTTGGCTTTCCGTCAACTACTATGCTTATTACAAAGGTCAGGGATAGAAAAATGGCTTCCTTATAAGATGTTTTATCTCTTAAATTAACAATATATTTTAAAGTCACAAAGAACAAATCACTTCACTGTATTAAAGTGTCAATTGAAAATCTGTTATCTGGGTACTGCATTATTCTTACTATCAACTTATTATTTATTTCCTAAACAGTTTTACAATAATCGCCTCATGATAACTGTAATAAGTCGGAAGTAGTGACACATCAATAAGATACTCTTCAAGGCCATACACATAAACATGATCAATGATTGTCCTTCCCTCTGTTGTTGGGAAAGTAACAAGTTGTTTAAATCCATGATCATTCAAGAATTTTTGAATTGGTCCAGTGTCATCTACAGCATTTTCATTGAAGTCCCCCAGTATAATACAATTTTCGCATTCTCGTTTGATGAAATTTGTAAGCTGCTCAAGTGACGATATGAAGAAATCTTTTATCAAAGAGCTGGGTCTATATACAGTAAAAATGGAGATGTTTTCTTGGAAAACAAAAGCAACAACTTCAATATTTGGGACTGGAATATCAATTTGTCTTGCTTCTTCGTCATCATGGATATATGTGCCAACTCCCCCTCCATTCGAGTTTTGAATCTTGGAATAAAGCTCATTAGATTTGTCATATGAATTCTTTCTCAATGTGTGAATGAACCTAAAGCCTTGCAGTGAGAATTGAACTGATGATGGTTCTTGCAACCAGGTCTCCGTCAAACAAATAACATTTGCTTTTTGAAATCGTGTATCTGATATCATCTCCTTGAAATTTGCTGGTAATCCTTGAATATTGTGCAATACAATTCTCTTGCAGTCAGGTTCAGCCAAGTTTGTGGTAATTTCAAGAAGTTTTGGCATGTCACAAACTGCATTTTTAACATCTGGGTCTGCATATATTTTTCTCCGAAGTAAATTTTGTACGTCACCTTGGGATGTTTCAAGATGTAATCCTTGTTTTGATGTTACCCGACTAAGAGCTACATATGCTTGTCCTGGTGAAAATACTTTGTCTAGATTCACAACAATTTCATTTGTAGTCATACCTTGCACCTTGTGTGCTGTGCAGGCCCATGATAATTGCAAAGGAAACTGATGTCTCACAACACTTTTAACATGCTTTTCATTTATCTCTTCATCTACTCTTTCAATGAGCACCATGATTCTGTCAGAGTTAATTTTCCTTCCACTTTTCTTCCCGACATCTTTGTTATCAAAAATAACTCCAATGCTGTTAACTTCTTTCTGCGCTCTGTTTGCATATTGGATCTCAGATACGAATCCCATTACTCCATTTACAAGTCCGTCATCTACGTCAATATTTCGAGTCAGCATAACACGTGCATTATGTGCTAAAATTATTGACATTGGTAGTCCTTCTGCTTTTTTCTTTGCAATGGGATTCTCTCGCAGGTTTAACTTTCCTGAAGTTTGATCTTTTTGATAATCCTTTGCATTTATTTCAACAAGCTCCTGACATTTTGTGGTTAGCATTGAAAGGTTGTACTTGTTGACTTCTTCATTGGTTGCATATACATGAAGTGCATCTTCTGATCCTTCACTGACACACTCTAATAACATTTCTGCCACATTTGGTTCTAAATTCTCTTTGCTTGTTCTCACCCGTAATTTATTCAAAGCTTCTGCAAAAGTTGCATCTTCACGTTGTCGCATAATTTCATGTAATTCAACAGCCTTGAATAGCTCCTTCCAGTAATCTACAGGATAAGTTGAACAGTCATTGTAGAGTCGCTCATTTTTTTTCTGTTTGACAGGAGGTAGCTGATAAAAATCTCCTACAGCAATAACTGACACACCTCCAAATGGGAGTTTGCATTTCTTAATTTGTACAAGACGTTCATGAACATAATACAGTAAGCGTTTGTACACCATTGATATTTCATCAATGATCAATATTTGCAAATCTTCCAACTTCACTCTGATGGTACTAAGGCGTTGTTCTTGTAGAGGTTCATAAGGGATTGGTAAGTACTTTGTGAGGGCAAATGCATGATGCAGTGTGGTTCCTCCTATATTGAATGCTGCAGTACCAGTCAATGCAGTTAAGAGAACTGAGATACTTTCAGGGTTGGTAAGAGTTCTTGAAAATAATCTGCTTGCTTCATACTGAACAGTATTAATCAAATGACTTTTCCCTGTTCCAGCACCTCCTGTTACAAATATATGAAATGCTTTAGGTTTTTCTTCATGGCATTTCTGTAGGCACCATTCTCGTACAAAATAGAATATCTCACTCTGAGTTGCATTTAAAGTACGGAGCAATGGCAACATTTTTTGGCGTGAATGAGCTGTATTCTGGATCTGGTACAAAAGATCTGCATTATGTTCAATATCTTGCAAATCTGGAACATCTTCTGCTTCCTCTTCGTTTTGCAACACTTGAGATTTTCTTTTCATGCAGTTCTCTCTGCTCTCTTCAGTCTGGGGACATAGTAAAGCCCAGGCGTCTTCAGGTTCTCCTATAATTTCATAAGTTTCTTGTGCTTGGTCAATTACATCTTCATTCTTGCAGTAGATCTGCCGGTTCATATCAACAATTTCCCTCACCATCTTCACTTTTTTACCCGATTTCAAACGTACACATCCACTTTCATAAAAAGTCTGAAACAATTCATACTTTGGTGGCTTAAGTTGGTCTTCTTTCCAGTAAGGAAGAAAAAGCTGAAGTATAGATTGGTAGAATTTTTCAGGCATTTTCTCTTTGTTGAATCTAGGAAATCTAATAATAGCTGGCTTTGTCCTTGTTCTTTTTTGAATATAACCTTTTCCATTTTGCAATTCAAAGATTCCCTCTCGAAGGTTTGAAGGAACTTGTGATTTTGCTAGGACTCTGTAATCAGCGCAGAATGTTGCAAGGCACATTTCAGCAAATTCCTGCAATTTAGGACGGTTCTCATATCTTTCTACAATATTGGTCATCCATATATCATCTTCATCATCATCTCCAGCCATTTCTTTGCTTTTGTTCATTTGATGCAAGGGTTTACTAAGTCTTGTTGGATTTTCTCCCACAGGAATAAATGTAACCTTCCTAGAGCATTCCTTCATGTTGAGATTACACACTCGATATACTGCCTCTTGTGCGCTTACTTCTCTATGATGCAAGTATGCAGATCCAATTTTTTTCATTGTTTGTCGTGCACTTAGATTTCCTTCCTCTGCTTCAATTTTTGTCTGTTTTAATAGCATGCCCATTTCTCGTTCTGACTTTGAGATGTATGAAATAATGTACACAATGCAACTGAATGGGTCCAACACATACTGAATGTCTAAATTAGCATCCCATGATTTTAAGAGACAAGGGTTGTACTGATTAGTCCATGCTTCAGAGGGTTCTCTTTGTAAAACAATGGTCTGTTTTGTGGTTACAGTGTTGTATGCATTTTCAAATAATTCTTGAGAGATTCCAAGTTTGTAAAATATCTCTGTTGAAGACAAGTTTTGAGTTGGATCTTGAATGTTCTCCCATACTTTTTGCAAGATTGCTTTTGCATCATTTCTTTTTAATTCCAAGTTTCCATTGCTTACATTTTCTGTGTCCTCTTCAAAATTTCTAGGCTTGGCTAAGAAAGTTTTTTTGGATGGTGGCCTGGGGAAATTAAATCGACAATCTGTACCTTTCTTCCTGCAGGATTGTGAATGTTTTTTACTGTGTTGTTGAACATCTTGGACAATTTTATGCAGTTCTGCATCTTGGCTTTCTGAGGGTATTTCACATGTGACATATCTATCAATGAACTCGCATACAGCATCTTCACCATCTTCGTCTAATTTAGGTGCTCCCTCTATCCAAAACAAACAATGCATGTGAGGTGAGCCTCTTTGCTGAAACTCTACTCTCTGAAAATAATCAACTACTTTTCCAATGGGTTCTGATGGTGACATAATAACATCATGTAAAAAAACATGAAATCTATGTTCAAACATCCGTGCCACTGTCACAGGATTACTTCTTAAAACTTCACTTTTCTCTGTCCAGTCTAAGTCTTCTGCATGTCTGTCATCACACTGTTGGCGTAAGATTGCTTCTATTGTTGAATTCCATCTGAACTCAGCAGCAGAAAAAGAACAGAACCAAGTTGGAATACCTATTTGTCGTAACATGGCAAAGAGATCCTTTTGTGCTGCTTGCCAGTATGAGGGTGTTCCCCGTATAGGCTGCATAAATCGCAATGCATCATCATTTCTCAGCAGTTTTGCCAATTTATCAACATCTTGTAATATTTCTGAGGTTATCTTTTGTCCTGATGTAGTTTTCGCTGAAGATTTTCTGACAGATATTTGAGTTTTCTCTATTACTTGATTGAGTTCAGACATGTACTGGCAGAAAAATAAATAATTTGAATCCTTGGCATATCTGTTGTCGGCATTCATCAGCCTATTGTGGAAGTATCTACTGAGAGTGATTTTGATATCCCTATTTTCATTCCATGAATTTTCTCCTGTTGGAAATAGATATGGAAATGTTTTAGCTTCATTTCCTTCATCCTGTAACATTTTTACTGGATTTTTTCCCTCCCCTGGAGCTAGATTGAACACATCATCAAAATAATGATCTAATACTTCCTGAACCACATCTATAGGTTGTAAGCAGGTGTCTAATGCAATGGAAGCTGCAGGTGGATCCTGATCATCAGTATCTTCAGTGTCAGACATTTGCTGTGATTTGTCTGCTTCTATCAAACAGTCTTCTTCTGCAGACACTTCCCAGTTCTTATTTAATTCTGTGTCTCTATACCAGATGTTGTTTTCCATTAGGAAGTTCAATGCCTTGATCACGTGGTGTGGATTTACAAACTGATATTCCTGATATCCTTTAAATGAAAGTTTTCTTTTTAATTTGACTCTTAGAAGCATGGTTTCGTCTGCTACTCTAGGTAAGCTAATTGCTTTGTTTAAATCTGATGGTACACAAACAACTGGACCATGCACATTCTTTTGTCTTCCTTGAGGTAAGTTCATGACCTTCATGAATGGTATGTGTATGGAAATTAATTGCTTTTCTAAACTATTTAAAGTTTTGAGTTCCATGGGTACTGGTGTTACCTTCATTCGGTTTACAGCCGCTTCTGCAGGAATTTTCCCTGAGAGTACTTTTTGATGACACGTTCTGCAAATCCATAGGGATGACCTTGTGCATCCTTGATGACAATTCATAGTGCATTCATGTAAATAATCCTCTTGTGCACACATTTTGACCAATTCTTTTACACAGTCTCTGCTCTCATACGACTTGCTATCAAAAGTACGCACCTGATTTTGAAATAATGTGCGCTGACAACAGCAACAAACATACTCTGGACTTTTACATGAATTTTGTTTAAACTTATTGATAACTTCAATTTCATTTTGCAGCTTCAAAAAAGCTTCCCTCTTTCTTTCTTTTACTTGATCTTTTTTTCTTTCTCTGAAATTTTTGTCACTTTTGTATTTTACCCTACAATTCTTCAGAAAAGCCCTTTTAAACTGGGGATTTCTGTATCGTTTAATACTAGTGGCTTTCACATTCTCTCTGTGCATCAAATTTATCTTATATTTCTCAGTACTTCTCTCCATAACATGTTGCTTATGTTTAGGATCAGTTTTGTACTTTTGTATGCTAGCCTCTTTCACAGTTTCTCTATGTTGAGGGTTTGATTTGTACTTGTGTATGCTAGCCTCTTTCACAGTTTCTCTATGTTGAAGATTTAATTTGTACTTGTGTATGCTAGCCTCTTTTACAGTTTCTCTATGTTGGAGGTTTGATTTGTACTTGTGTATGCTAGCCTCTTTCACAGTTTCTCTATGTTCAGAGTTAGTTTTGTACTTGTGAACACTAGCTTTTTTTACTGTTTTTTTATGTCCAGGATTTGTTTTGTATTTCTGTTTACTTGCTTCTTTTACCTTTTGTTGATGAGATGCACATTTTTTATATCTTTGAATGCTTTCAAACCTTTTCTTTAACTGGTATTTTGGATTGTAAGAATACATCTTTTTGTTGATATTCTTACTTCTCATTTTCACATTTTCTTTAAAATGCAGAGAGTCTTTATATTTTTCATAGTTTTGCTTTGCGTGATGAATAACTGTCTTCCTGACAATTGGGTTATCTTTATATCTCTTCCTATTTCTTCCTAAAACCTTATTTCTTTCTTCAGAACATTTTTTGTATTTCCAGTTCTGTTTCTCAAGATATTCTCTGTATTTGTTCTCTCTCACTTCCCTTTTTTTCATAAGACAGTGGAGTTGAAAAGCTGTTTAAACTAGCAGTATCTGTAAAGGGTGTTTTCTCCTGCTGTGATACAACTACATTATAATGATTTTCATTCATGTGGTGCAAATAAAATGAGCCTCTGTTAACATGGCATCCTGATTCTACTTGTTCTCCTGAGTATCGCAACCATTGTCCTTGGGTAAATGTGTAGATGTCAATTTGCAGCATGTGAGCAGTGGCTATAAGTTCTAATTCAGAAGCCCATCTTCCATTTTCAGACATTTTTGACATTTCAAGATAAGTACTTATTGCCTGTCTACTATCTCTTTGAAAGCCCTTAAAGAGCAATTCATTCGTCTTTAAATGTCTGCACACTGCTTGTCGAACTACATTGTGAAAATTTTCGGTATTTGAAATACAGTAAGAAATTGCCCTGAAAAAGCAATTCCCATCCGGAGCAATATCTTTCACAAGAACAGATTGTTCAGCTATCAAAGCAGCATAATATTTAGCTTCATCCTCTGAAAATCGAATACCAAGTTTATGACAAATATTCTTTTTAATCTCCATATTAACTGTTGCAGAGAGAGAGTTAATTCATTCCCTATGCTCTCCTTTTCAGTATACAGGTAACATAAATCATCTGAATTGCTACCATCTTCTCATCACAGTGTAGCAGTTTCTCTTCAACATCTACAGCAGACAGGCCAACTTCACATTTTTCACTTGGGAATAGTGTTTCTTTTGTTGTTGAATCACATTTGTTTGTAATCATGTGTTTAACTGAACAATGCACACCGGTAATCTCACAATCAATGACAGCTGAGTAACCCATTGACAATGCTAATGACCAAATATGTTTATAAATTTCTTGTACTGTCTGATAGAGCACTCTTGTGCTTTTTCCAGTAATACTCAAAAGTCCTTGTGAAGATCTTGAGTGTGGATCAAATGTGAAGAATCCATCATCAGTTTTCCCTACTACAAATGCATTTCCACCAAAGCACACAATACACCCATCAGTATCTGCAAGTGATAATTGCAATGCATCTTCAAGTGAATATGCATGAAAATCATCATAGCATATATTTGCATTTGATAAATTTATAATGCTTGCAATTGATTCATTTGCTTCAAATTCAAACATTGTATCAAAGCACTCAAAATACTGTGGTAGCTCACTCACTAACAGATACCTGCTTTTGATTGCAGAATTACATTGCAAGTAACTGTATAACTCATCTCCTATCACTAGTACCTTGTTCATATCTGCAGTTTGCCAAAACTTTGCATTTTTTATTTTGTGATATGCAATACCACATAAACAATTGGATACACATTGTGTTCCTGCATTTTCACCAAAAATCACTTCTCCCTGATGAAACGAACCTTGAACTACACACATACTGCTTGAAATTTGTTCATTTTCCTCATTTTTTTCCCCTTGATTTTCAAATTCAACATGCTCATGTTTCTTATTTACATGATTCTCAAATATTTCGTCACAATTTACATGTTTTTTTTTTGTTTTTGTTTGAATGATTCTTATTTTGTCTTGTCTGGTTTTCATATTTCATATTTTCTCCAGTTTGATTTTCATGTTCTATATATTCTTGTGTCTGTTTTTTCTCTGTTATCATATTTTCATGTATCTCATTCTCTTGTTTCTGAAAGTCATATCTCTTATTTTCATATTGATCTTGGTAATCATTTGTATTCTCTAGTTTCTGATTATTTTCGTTCAAAATTCCTTTTGTATTCGTGTGAAACTCAGTTTTAAATTCAGTCAAGGAGTCTCCATCTTTTTTTAGTGGTGTGCTGGCATCCTCCGCCCTGGAGGTAGCCAACTGCGCCTGACCTGCTGGACTAGGCTTGAAGCCATCATCATGCCCAGGTACTCTCGGTGGAGTACAAACCCACGGTGGGGAGTCAGGGGACGGTGCCTTGTCCTTGTTGCGGACAAACAGACGACTTCCCCGAGGAGATGTCAACCTCGGGGCATTTGGGTGCATTTTCACTCGAGGTGAGGCCTGCACCCTGGCCAAGGGTTTTTCCTCAAGAGGTGGTAACCCTATAAAACCTTGTCCCAAAGGGGTATCAGAAGCTGTATTGGCACCATTTACTGCACAGTGACTGGGAGTAGCATCTGACTTCTCATCTAAAGACACATCAGATAAAGACTGGGATGCCTCTTTGTCTCTTCTCCCTTTTTCTTAATTTGTCTTTCAGACGTTTTTCTCTGCCATCAAGATTCTTTCTTTTTGGCATCTGTAAAACATAAAGCAAGAGACACATGATGATTTATCGGACAAGACTCATAGGCAATAATGCTTAATTGACTGGAAACTATTTATAATATATTCTTTCATCAGATATTGGAAACTATCTGGATGAAGCATCTCATCTAAAGTATCTGGTTGTATTGAATCATGTATAGCCACATACAAGTAATGTAACAAGAATCATACCAGACACAAAACTTGTCTAACTTTGCTGTTTTTCATAACAGAGGCCCCATTCTTTCCCGTGGTGTAATTATTATGTCAACAAAGCGATATTAAACATGCTTAATCAAAGATATCAACTCAATGAGCGTTGTCTTTGGGTTTTAGTAATGCAGACTTGACATTATACAAACTAATAATCTAGTAGAGTACATCTCAAGATGTATCATGTATGCAATTTTGATCTGATAGGGCTTGCAGTTACCTGGGAATAGACTTATCCAAAAATTTCAAACTAGTCACTCATCTATACAAGTGGTCCAAGGACCTTGATTCACTTTTCTGATAAATTATACAAAGTATCACTTCTATTTGAAGCCTCTAAGTATCCTTTATCTATTTAGACAAGAGGCCCATGGGCCTTATAGGTCACCTGAATATTGTGTAACAACTTTCAAACAATTAACTTGGGTTTGTGTTTAAACCAGAGGCCATGAAATTCACAGTTCACAATTTTGAAAGAGGCACAATTGCTAATCAGAATTAAAAATCCAGAAGCAGAGAAATAGATTTTCAAAGATAAATGCATTTTCACAATATAATCAACATAGCCCCACCCTTACACCAGAACCCCTGACCCTGAGGTCATACAATTCACAATACTGGAAGAGACACTATTACTCATCATAACTATGTACTAACGGGTAAACTTCGGTATCTCGACATTGGATATGTCGACAACCTGGGATATGTCTACATCCATCCGCAATCCCGGCATTATTTACTATATAAATGATTTACAAAAACTCGGATATGTCGACCTCGGTTAGGTGGACTACTCTGCTTATCTTGACGTATATTCACAGTCCCAAGAGCAAAATTTACCTGGTATATGTCGACATCAGGGCAATTTCCTGCTCTACTTAGCATAATTGGTAGTCAGCTGGTCACGTCATGCACAATGACTCAATGTATCTCTACGTCATCAGAAATTCACCAATGTTTTGACTATACATACCACTTCTGTAGAAATGTGTTTGTAGAGGAAACCCAAGCCCCCTCGGAGTCACTGAGATGTTAATTGTTTAACATTGTTTAATGTTCAGCTGGTTAACATGTGCAGCTTGGGTAATAACATTGATAAATCTGATTGACTCTGCGTAAATGTACATCCATTTATTTATGTCGAAATCTATGTATGGTGAAAGTCGACTTTATATCATTGATTTTCTAAGTTTTACAGAACGCATTATGTATTCTTTTCTGACAAAGCAAGTTGCACGTGGAATGCTGGATTAGAAGATTTCCATAACAAGAGGCCCATGGGCCACATCGCTCACCTGAGTAACTTGGGTGATGAGAATATTTTACCATATTACCCTCTTTTGCTATACCTATCATGCCCAACAACCCCCTTCCTTTTTTTATTTTAAAACTTTAAAATGTACACTACCCAAGGATGCTTCCATAAAAGTTTCAGCTTTCCTGGCCCAGTAGTTCTTGAGAAGAAGATTTTTAAAGATTTGTTCTATATATTTCTATGTAAAACTTGGATTTCCTATTGTGGCCCCGCCCTGCCCCCAAGTGTCATGATTTTAACAATTTAATATCTACACTACCCCAGGATGCTTCCATATAAGTTTAAGCTTTCCTGGCCCAGTGGTTCTTGAGAAGAAGATTTTTAAGTATTTGTTCGATATATTTCTATGTAAAACTTGTTCCCTATTGTCCCCCCCTCCCCCCCGTGGGTCATGTTTTTAAACAATTTAATATCTACACTACCCAAGGATGCTTTCACATATTAGTTTCACTTTTCTGGCCCAGTGGTTCTTAAGAAGAAGATTTTTTTAATGTCCCCACCCTATTTTTGCCTTTTCTCAATTATCTCCCCTTAAAAGGGACCTTCATTTTTAAAATTTAAACTCCCCTTTACCCAAGGATGCTTTGTACCAATTTTGGGTTTAAAATTTGGGCCCATTGGTTCTTGAGAAGAGGGACGGATGACAGACAAAATTAATGTGATCGAAAAGCTCACTTGAGCCTTCGGCTCAGGTGAGCTAAAAATGGGAAGCATTTCATGAATTACATTTGTGAATAATTTCTCAGATTTTCTTATTAATATACTGACACGCAAAAGAAACGGAACAAGCAGTAATCTACAAATGTTTGATTTTTTTATCTTATGATTTTTAAAAGCGAATAAAGTAAGGATAAACTCACTTTTCAGAACATAAGAGATTTGATAAAAATTTTAAAATGTTTATCTGTTTACTTTACAAAGTAAAATATGCTTTTAAAAAACCCCCCTCCCAGTCATTCGAGTAAAAGGGCAAGACTGCCCTAAACAAAAATTGCACTTA